TCATTGGAGAAAAAAATAGGGGTCACCTCCAAGAAGTGTTCTGGCTCACTCTCGTTCTTGCCTTTGAAGCTCTATATAATTTTGTGTCTTGTTGCCACCAAACAAAGTTCCCACCAAAGGTTTCCAATGAAACAATGAAAGTAAAGGTTCTTATTGAAGTTACATGTGAGCCTGAGGATTTTTACAGGGCTCTTAAATTCCAAAAATTAATGTCAATTGTTTCCAAATTGTAAACATCTTCGTTAGAAAAAAACGGAGAGGAAGAAATTAGATCAGAGGTCACCGGTTGTAGTAACAAGTCAGTGGGAAAGTTGACACGTATCGATCAAGAATGCACCGTCATGTCAACAAAAGTCGATCACATGTTAGATTTCCCACGACAATGATATAAAAGGTGTGAGCCACTGGAAGCTTGAGAGTTTGCACACGGAAGTTATATTTGGTCTAGTGATTTCCCGTCTCCCGTAACTGTATGCAACGGACTCGACCTAGTCCCCGGAGAAGACAATGATAGACAACGCCCGACGCTTCCATAAAGAACTGTCATCACCACATATAGGACTCCTCCAACTTTAGAGGTAATTATCATCAGACTGCAAACTCTCTCTCGTAACAGAATTAGGCATAGCTGTTATAGAATAGACTAAGCAGTTGTCAATCATAGACTTTGTAATCTTATGTTAATCACATCTAGCCTATATAACCTAGAGATATATGCATTTAACTCTGTGTATTTTCCTGTATTTTAGTGTTAGCTGTATAATAAATGCTTTATTTTGTTAAACCTGTCTCCTATCTCTGAAAGGACATCTGCCGACTTGCTCATCTCCCTTGCCACTTGATAAAAGCCATCCGAACGACAACGTGGGCAAGTTTTACCAACTTGACATGTAAGTGGCAATTAGGGAATTGACTCTGTGCCCTCGTGGTTTCACATACACATTGTATGATATATCAAGGTAATATATGTAATATATATATATATATATATATATATATNCATTGTATGATATATCAAGGTAATATATGTAATATATATATATATATATATATATATATATTGAATGTAAACTCTCTCTTTAAGTTTTAGGTAGTGGGTTAGATTTGACAGTCCTCTTATATTGTATATTTTGTTATTGCAAGATTTATATTATTTGGAGATAGAACAAATTCCATTTAGGTTTTAATTCTCTTTGTTAAATAAATATGCTATTTTACATTTTTAAGTTTGTTGTTCAGATTTTTGTTGCCTTACTCCATTGTCAACCCATGATGCTGTGAATGTTCAGTTAATATAGACCCTCCTGGAGTTCCGGTAGAAATCGTATAATATAGGCCACTCAGAATAAGGTCCATAGAGATCTAATTAGTCTGAAATTGTTTAGTCAAGTTCAAGTTGGGCTATATTGAAGGTGAAGAGGTGTATACTGGAACATCTTTTTGTTTCACATTTATATTGTAAATTATTGAGTCATTAAAGTTATCAAAAGATGGCACTATAAATACCTTTAGGGTAAAATTTCTATAAATAATTTAATAACTAATATATAACTTGGCATAATTATGACAAAATATTTGAAATCAGTGGTGTAAGCTAGGGTTTGTGTTGCTTCGGACTGTCCTTGAATTTGCAATCTCCCACAAAAAAAAAAAAACAACACAATACACATCAAACATTCTTAGAAAAAGTGAAAAAGACATGTAAGCCAAAGAGAAAAACATGTGAAAAAATTAGGACGCTGTTATCCATGTTGTTATTAATTAAACACAACTAAATGCTTAATTAAATAGGTATGATGATGTGAGGAACCAGGGGTAGATAAGAGTAATCTCTCTACTGCTTATTTGGCTATGGATCTGGAAGATCTGCCCGCAGGGTCATAGGATGGAGATTATATTAAAATTAAGGTAGATTACAAGATTGTAGAATCTTGATCTACAGTCAGGATTCCCAACACCAGATAGGGAAAGATTTTGCACCCTATCATTCATTTATAATATCAGTTTAAATAGGAGGGCTGTTACGTTGATGAGTGGGGAGGAGTTGCGGGTAAGTTCAAATGTAGTGGGGTGAATGTCCGGAGTAAATTAATTGAGAGAGAGAGTTACCAAATGTAATTAATAACAAAGATTTACTAAATAAACTAAATCAACTAAATCAAGATATATATTCAAATTATAAATATATCTGAACATAATCAAGTCTAACTAGAGTTATACTTCTAAGTTGAGAGTATACTATTCAACCGAGAGAGAGAGCTTACATCAATTTAAATTTACTACCTTGACTGACAGTCTAGAAGGTAGTCTTCTTCTTCTATATGATGAAGTTCCTTGGTGAAGCTCTTAGATGGAGGAGGAATGAGGAAATGCACAAGTGAGAATCTGCGAGAGAACTCTATTCTTATGGCAGGTCCTTGGGGATTATTGACTGGTTTCTTATGGCTATGTCCTTATACGAAGAACTGCAGTCTTCTATGTGATAAATTCGGACTAATGTCGACTGTATCTCCTATGGCAATGCCATATTTCTGTTGACTGCCTCGAATGGCAGGAAATCGCCCTTTTTATTGTCCTTTCTGTCCAATAGCATAAAAGAATCTGCAGTTACTAACGGGATGTATGGGGGCAAGGAGAGGGGTGTACTGTCAGATAGATGTCAAATTTGTAGATAAGGTCTTGTGGGAAAGGAAGTTGATTTCCGACACTTTGGTAAAAAGTGTTGAATGTGTCTTCCTTTTTGGTAAACAATTTTGAAAAACTAAATATATTTCCCAATTCTCACAATAATTAATAAGGTTATCATCAAGGGAATGCAGTCCTTACCATTATAGAAAATTTCAAACAGTAAGCAGTGTAATATATAAATGCCAAACAAAACCTGATGCATAGCAAAAAAACACACACACCTCCTGATTATTTATGGCAGATGTGTGTCTGTTTTAGTAAGCATCATTTTTGTTAAAAAATCAAACTGAATCTGGCATCTTATATTCTTTTACTCTGTTGACCTAAAAGAAAAAACTTTTCATTGCAGTAGAGCAAAAGTGCTGCCCAAAGCAGACCACCCTTCCCTAGCTAAGCTACCAATTAAAATGTATTATTTATTGAATTGTTAAAAATTTATTAAATTTTAAAATCATTAACTATATTTCTTGTATTCAAATTTAAGTAACATCTAGAATCTTTATATTTAAATTAAATTAATAAAATTAAAATAATGGATATTGAACCTGAAGATTGTTAATGATGATCTAAAATATTAAGCATGAATAAATTTGCTGGATATTTAAAGGTTTTCAAGTTATTTTTAAATAAATATAAATATTAGATTGAAGAGTATGTGATATATCATAAATATAGTTACATGAAGGAAAATGAATTAGTAAACTCCATTCAAATAATCTGTAGATGAAAAATGTTTTTTAAGTGTCTATTATTTAAAAATTATATTTAGAAACATTTTGAAATGAGAAAATATTTAATAAAAAGAAATTTTAATTTTTTGTCTGTTATGCTGTATCAAATCACATTATAGTTAGTAAATATTACAGGGTGTGACACCAAAGCCGGACAAATTACATATTTTTTTCAAACAGTTTTTATTGCAAAAAGCGAAAAGGCTTACAAAATTTTTTTAACCACATTATTTGTAAGGCCATAAAGAATAAAGAATACATTTACTCAATATATCCCCCTCCTGCTTGAATGACTGCCTCCATTCTTGGTCTGAAGCGTGCACAGGCACGTTTTAATGTGTTACGGTCCATTGGCGAATGCCACATCAATAGTGGCTCTCAACGATGTGAGGTTTGGATGTCTGGACTTCTTTGTGACCCTTTCAACTATGCTCCATACATAGAAGTCCAAAGGATTCAAATCTAGGCTGTTGGGGAGGCCAGAATTCTTTTGACCAAAACATGTCGATGTTGTCCGACAACCAGTTTTGCATCAAATGACTCACTTTAATTGTGTAAGACTTGTAGCAAAGACCCTTCTCAATGATTCTACGCATAGTTTTCTCGCTCACACCAACAACTGACAACAATTTTCAGATTGACTGATCTGGATCCTCAAAAATCAGCTCCTGAGCCCATTGAATGATTTCGGGTGTCCTGACAACATGCTCCTTTGAGTGAGTTTTCCTCACCGGTGTTGTAAAACCTTTGTTGGACTTCTCCGACTCATTGTACTTTGCAACGACATCATATGCAGTTGATCTCAGGTACCCGAAGAATCGAATGATTTCTGTCACAGAGCACCAAGCGCAAACACTTTCGATAATCGCAGTTCTTTGGTTATACTCCACACTTGGTTTTGAGGTTATGATGATTTAGTACATGTGTCAAGATATTTGAATGCCAAACACAACATCTATTGGTGGTATAGAATGACAGGAATTTGAAATAGAATTTTGTCCAGATTTTGGTGCAGCACCATATATACATTCTAAAGTGTATCATAGATTTTAATGTATTAAATTATTTATTATAATAAATTTTTTCATAAGCAGAGATTGCTTATTGGACTTTTAGCTTCATTAAATTGAGGAAATGCTGTAATTAATAACAGCAATAGTAATAATAATTGAATGTAAATTAAAAACAAAGATTCATTTGTAAGTTAAATCAGCGGTTTCCAAAGTGTGCGCCACGGCTCCCTCACAGGAGTGCCACAAAATATAAAATTTTCATAATTTTTCTTCCACTTTCAATTCAATGTGATAAGATGCAATGTCTAGCAGACCCGGTGCAAATTAACTCAGTAATAAAGGTGGCAGGTAGAATAGCAAAATGTAAAAAGCTTAATACCATCGCATAAAAACCATACTACTGGCTCTTGTAGATATGGTGGACATTATGATCTGTGAGTCTGCTGGGAAGCAACTTTCAAAAGTGTCTTTGTCCAATAACACCACCAGTTGAGCATACAGCACATAATGAATGACCTCCAATGATCAGTTAATTGAAAAAATAAAAAGGAAGGAATTTGGATTGCAGCTTGATGAGGACACAGATAATAATAATGATGCTCACTTGATTTGCTATGGACAGTTTATAGATAGTAACAACATTGTAGAAGACCTCTTTTGTAAAAGTATCACTGCTGGTGCTAATGCTCACAACTTGTTTAGATCCTTGATATTTTTATATCTGAAAATAATTTGGAATGGACCAAATGCATTGGTATCTGTACTGATGGTGCTCATTCTATATTTGGGTGTTATGAAGTATTGCAAATACTTTTTCAAAGCAAAGACCCTGATGCACTGTGGACTCATTGCATTATTCACAGAGAACTCGCATCAAAGTCCTACATTGAACCACACTTTAGAATATGTAGTAAATGTAGTAATGTTTATAAAAACTGAGCCATTGAAGGCATTTTTCAAAAAACTGTGAGGATATGGGAACATTCTTTGTTGTACTACAGCACTTTGAGAAAGTATAAAACATTACCACGAGAAAGTGGTGGCTCTCTTGAGGTAATGTTTTGTCTCATACATTTGAACTGCAACAGAAAATTTATATTTTTCTTAAAGAAAAAGACCACAAGTATGCCAAAAATTTTGTAAATTAAGATTTTTTGGTAAAACTAGCATACTTATGTGATATTTTTGAAAAGCTGAATACTCTCAATCTCTCCTTTTAAAGTTGATTGAGAAAATTTCAACTTTTATAAAAATATTAAAACTATGGAAAAGTAAAATAAATGAAAACGGAAGAAAAGAATATTTTCTCTTGTTGCAACAGTTTTTTGACCTCCAATGGAGTTGATTTCTCTTGTGGTATGAAATCCATATATCACAACTTATCACCTGGTTTGAGAAATATTTCAAAATGATATCAATCAATTTGTATGGGATCAGGATCCATTTAATACCAGTGCTTCATCTGAATTTTCTGCTGCACAAGAAAAGAATCTTATTGAGTTGTCTTGCAACAATACATTGAAAACAAATTTTAGCAGCATGGAATTAACTGAATTTTGGATATCGGTAGAAGATAAATATCCCTTCTCAGTGGTAAAGCTCAGAAAATCTTAATTCCATTTGCGACTTCTTATTTGTGTGAAGCGAAGTTTGTTGCTGTGATAAAAGCTAAGCATTGCACGAAAATCAATGTGGAGAAGGAAATGAGGATGGCTGAGTCCAGTTTGATTCCAAGATTTGAGAAAATGTGCAATGATCAACAGACTCATTCATCCCAATAATTATAATTAATTGAATTTGTTCAATTACATTTTTTAAAATACGTGTTTTATTTATTTTTACTTAACATCCATACTCTAATTTTAAAAATATTGGCTATTTTGCTATTTTGCAAATTGTACTTGTTAGAATTTGACATAGGGCATCTTGGAAAAATCTGGATTTAGCAAAGACACTGAGAATCAAAAAAGTTTGGGAACCACTGAGTTAAATGATAAGCAGTTTTTTCCTGCTTTTATTTTTATTTTAGTTTTATATATTAAATACTGTGTATAAAATATAAAAATTAACCAGTTTCTGTAAGGTATTCTACAAAAAAATAATTATTTTTCTTTACATTGTTGTGTTTATTATATGGTGCAAAGTAAAATAAATAAATTATTTTATTAAAGGTAGCCATTTCAATTATTTTACTTTTATTTTATTATAAAAATTTTCACTTTATGTATAACAAATTTTATCACAATGTTTGTTTAAATTACAGAAAATAAAGACGGGCAAGCTGGAATAATTTCATGTTTTGCCTTTTCTTCTTCAAGTAATCATCTGTTTGCTGCTGGTTCCTACTGCAGAACAAGTAATTACTTTTATTATAAATTTTAAAAAAATTTCTAGTAAAAAAACACATTATATATATATACATGCATACATAAATGGTGTTTATTTTATATTTATCCGGGCACAAAAAAAAGATCTTGCCAGCATTGCACGAGTATATGGATATGGTTCATTACTTTCAGTGCCATGTTTACAGTAAAATAAATTAATTCATTCAAAAATGAGGCATAGGTAAATCATGCAGTGATTTCAAGGCATTACCTAAATTTTTCAAACATAAGAAGAAGATGCAAATTAAATCCCAGTTAAACAGATAGTTCATAGTTTACACAATAAATATCAAATGGGAGAAATGTTATTTTTATATCTGACTTTGCTGTAGTATGATTTTTCCTGAATATATTTTTATTTTTGTATTAATTAGAGATATGACAAACTTTCTAGAAAAAAATTTGATCAAATTATAAATGATGGCAGCATAATCATTACATTTACTTAACTTTATCATACTAAATCAAAAAAAAACACCACCTTAATTTGTTGAGAAATTTAATAAAAACCAAATGTTTTCAGCTAAATCTGTTGGCCATCATCAGGCTAAAATATTCGAATACAAAATAGAACAAAAATTTAAATACAAATAAAATAAAATAATGAATGAAATATACATATACATGTATAAAGAAAAATAAAATAAAATAAAAAATATTATTATAAATAACAAAATATGTATATAAATGCATGCATAGGTTAATTGAATATTAAAACATTATATAATAATACATTATATGAAATTCAAAGAAATGCAAGATATGCAATAAATACTAAAATCAAGGCATTAAATTAAGAGCTCTCTAATCGTTTAATTAAATATTTCCAGGCTGAAGGCAACCCTTCAGAATCTCTAGAATTAATGCATGCATCATGCAATCTGCTCTTATATATTTCAATTTTTTTGGCGCAAATCACCAACGTTGGTGAATGTACTGGTTTAATAATACTTGCTTCTTCCCATTTGACAACTAAGCCCTCAACTTGCACCAATTGTGATAGTATTGTGGCGTTAGATCCTTTGCTGATATTGTATTTGTGTTCTTTTAATCTGACTCCTAAGTTTCTATTAGTGACACCAATGTAATTTTTATTAATGTCTAGTTCAAGATTTTCATACGGTATCTTGTATACTCCTGCTCTTTTTTCTTTATCTATGCTGTCTTTGTTGTTCCTTAATAATTTGTACAGGTTAGGAGCTCTCTTGAAAACTAACTTGGACTTTTTGCGGGCTGAGATTTCCTTCATGATGGCTTTTTTCTTTCTATCATAAGTGAACTTTGTGATTTTGCTGAAATCACCACTTTGAGCCTTAGTTTTGTTTATTTTGTAATATCTAAAAAATGTATCTGTGAGGAACATTTCTGTTCAATCTTCAGCATGAGACCATCATCGTTGTTGTTGATCTTGTTAATAAATTCATCGATTTTTTGGTCATTCTTCCAAATTACAAAGACATTGTCTATGTATCTTTTAAAATACACAATGTCATTCAAGAAACCAGAGGGAGCACTTTTTTTCTAATTTTCTCAATACAAGCTCACACAACACTTTTGACATGGAACTTCCCATCAGGACTCCTCTTTTTTGTCGGATGGTCATTAAAGGTGAAAAAAGATTCATAACAAATAAGGTTAGCTAGTTCTATCAAATCATTATTGTAACATGCCAAATCTGGGCTCTTGTTGTGCATGAAATCTAAAAGTGCTACCCTGCATGATTCAATTTTAATAGACGGGGGTATAAGCTTTCATAGGCCATTACAGTTCCAATTTCATCATCCATTAAAATTAGATCTTGTATCTCATTAACCACATGCTGAAGGATTGCCATTAACTATTCTTGAAAACATCAAGAATAGTTAATGGCAATCCTTCAGCATTCATCTTGTGGGACCAAATAGAAGTCCCGATTAAGATCAAGGATTTTCTAAAATGGGGACTGAACTTTGTCCCTGAAAATTCAAGTTCTTGGGAAACTTCAATCCAAGAAATAGACAGAATAATATCTGGGCTAGATTCTTTAGAAAAAGAATACCTCTGATGGAAAACTGTCATAAAAGACCAGATGACTTGGAAAAAAGGATGTGATGCCAGTAAATACATCAAACTTACTAAATGTTGGCTTAGAAAAAATGATTTGGTTACAAGAAGAGCAGACAAAAGCAAAACTTTGGTAATCATGAAAAGACAGACACATAATAATGCATTGGAGGATTATATTAAAAAACCAAATGTGAGCATGTTGACGCAAAGATTATCGACAGTGTCGACAGAAGGGTTAAGAAGTTTGAAAAAGCTAAGCTCACTATTGCATTACCTTTCCTCAAAAATGGTCGGAATCCCAGGCCAAGTATGCCGAGATTGTTTGCTTTTGCCAAGACCCATAGAGAGGGTAAAGAAGTGAGACCTATAGTGGAAAGGTGCAGAGGACCAACTTTTATTCTTGAAAAGAGATTACATAAATTTCTCACCTTACAGCTCGACAATAATGTACATGTGGCACAGGATCCAAGGGATGTGGTTAATGAGATACAAGATCTAATTTTAATGGATGATGAAATTGAAACTGTAATGGACTATGAAAGCTTATACCCGTCTATTAAAATTGAATCATGCAGGGTAGCACTTTTAGATTTCATGCACAACAAGAGCCCAGATTTGGCATGTTACAATAATGATTTGATAGAACTAGCTAACCTTATTTGTTATGAATCTTTTTTCACCTTTAATGGCCATCCGACAAAAAAGAGGAGTCCCGATGGGAAGTTCCATGTCAGGACTGTTGTGTGAGCTTGTATTGAAAAAGTTAGAAAAAAGTGCTCCCTCTGGTTTCTTGAATGACATTGTGTATTTTAAAAGATACATAGACAATGTCTTTGTAATTTGGAAGAATGACCAAAAAATCGATGAATTTATTAACAAGATCAACAACAACGATGATGGCCTCATGCTGAAGATTGAACAGAAATGTTCCTCACAGATACATTTTTTAGATATTACAAAATAAACAAAACTAAGGCTCAAAGTGGTGATTTCAGCAAAATCACAAAGTTCACTTATGATAGAAAGAAAAAAGCCATCATGAAGGAAATCTCAGCCCGCAAAAAGTCCAAGTTAGTTTTCAAGAGAGCTCCTAACCTGTACAAATTATTAAGGAACAACAAAGACAGCATAGATAAAGAAAAAAGAGCAGGAGTATACAAGATACCGTATGAAAATCTTGAACTAGACATTAATAAAAATTACATTGGTGTCACTAATAGAAACTTAGGAGTCAGATTAAAAGAACACAAATACAATATCAGCAAAGGATCTAACGCCACAATACTATCACAATTGGTGCAAGTTGAGGGCTTAGTTGTCAAATGGGAAGAAGCAAGTATTATTAAACCAGTACATTCACCAACGTTGGTGATTTGCGCCAAAAAAATTGAAATATATAAGAGCAGATTGCATGATGCATGCATTAATTCTAGAGATTCTGAAGGGTTGCCTTCAGCCTGGAAATATTTAATTAAACGATTAGAGAGCTCTTAATTTAATGCCTTGATTTTAGTATTTATTGCATATCTTGCATTTCTTTGAATTTCATATAATGTATTATTATATAATGTTTTAATATTCAATTAACCTATGCATGCATTTATATACATATTTTGTTATTTATAATAATATTTTTTATTTTATTTTATTTTTCTTTATACATGTATATGTATATTTCATTCATTATTTTATTTTATTTGTATTTAAATTTTTGTTCTATTTTGTATTCGAATATTTTAGACTGATGATGGCCAACAGATTTGGCTGAAAACATTTGGTTTTTATTAAATTTCTCAGTAAATTAAGGTGTTGTGTTTTTTTTTATTTACATACTGAGTGAGTGTACCTCAATTTATTATACTAATTTATATATACACACACACACAAACAAATAAATACCTAGTAGTCATAATTAAAGTCTTGTTCAGTACATGAGATATTTAGCAGCCCAAATTTAACTAAATATGATATGATATCATTTCAGGATGTATGAAAGAAATTTCCATTAAAAAAAAAACCTGGTACTTTTGTCACTACAAACAATGAAAAGCAATTTCCTTTATTTTCAGCACAGCAATTTAAATTTCTGGTGTTTATTACTTCAATTACACATTGAATGAAATACTATTTTTAATTAATTAATAAATCTTTAAGTTACACATTTTTTTGTTTTAACTATTTTTCAATGTCAGAACCAAAAATTCCAGAATTTCCACTAATTGTAGGCTTATTAACTTATCTTGTTTATATGTTGTTAGTCAGTTGTTATCAATATAGGCAAGTTCTAAAGTGATCATAATAAGTGAATCTTATTGCAATGTTAAGTAGTCCTGTAAAACATAAGTAGGTCGCAATCAATGAGTTCAAGTACAGTAAGATCCCGCTGTAATGTTGTCTCGATTAACGCTGATTTTATATAATGCAGTCTGCTTGAAGCCTTAAAAAGTGCTCAAAATTTATGCTTCAAATTAATGTGGCAGTTGATCAATTCATATATATTACAATTATTCCCAAACCATTTAGCAAAAGATGACAATTCTTCATAGCGCTGTACTTTCCTTAAATCTATGTTTGTTCGGTGCAATTTTGGAAAAAATATAACATCATGGATGCCACATGCAATATCAACTTCGCTTGGCAAGAATTAACTGATGAATGCATGAATGGAGTATGGAAGAAGTTATGGCTGGGGTATCCAAGAATTCCAACAAGAAGAGTCTATTGCTGTATCAATTAGGTTGACAATTTGATCAACCTAATGATACAACAGGACTAGGAGATGTAGACGAGCAGGATATTGAGGAGTTACTGCAGGTTTCTGGTGAGAGCCTTACCAATGACAATCTTCAAGGACTGACAGAACAAGGAATCCATGTAGAACTGGAAAACAGATTCTGAAAACAAAGAACCTAAAGAATTTCTCTACGGATTATTTTAGTAAAAGTTTGGTAATGATAATCGAAATCATTGATCAAACTGTACTGAATGATCCAGATTTTGAAAGGAGTGCAAAAGCAAAATGAGGCATTTTGGATACAATCTCCTGCTACCTACATTTGCTTAAGGAAAGAAAAAAAGCAACAAATGAAACTACATGACAAAAAACTTTGTCACAAAAAACAAGAATTTCAGAAAAGCCAGGACCTTCATCACAAAAAATGAACTTTACATTTCTGTGTGCATATGTTTGTGTTATTTAACATAATGAAAATCCTTCCAAACAATTTTTAGTTACGGATTTTTTCCATGAACTTTTTGAAGCACCCATGTACATACAGTAGAACCCCCAATTATCTGAGCCTGAGCCCCAATTAAAGCATTAAAAGTAGTGTATCCACTTATTCTTATACTGTAATTCATAAAAGAAAGTTTAAATGATAATGCAAATTAATATAAAAATAACTTAAAATTAATCTCGTGCAAATTAATATAAAAATAACTTAAAATTAAAGTAAAATCTGTTTATTTTTGATCATGTGTTCCTCTTTCCCTATTTACTCCATGTTAAAATAACCTCGTTTAATGCTGTTTTGTTTAGCGCTTTGTTGTCTAGGAACACATCCCCACGTTAAGTGGGGTGTTACTATAATATAAAATTCAATTTAGTACAAGTTTTCAGCAGCTACTGGTGAAAGTGTGATGAAAAAAGAAATACTTTCAAGCACTACTGTTAATATATATAAAATAATAATTTTTTGTGCATATAAAAAAATTTACACTTGTGCATGTGTAGTCATTTTTCAGTTATATACAAGGTACATACAGTAGAACCCCCAATTATCTGAGCCCCAATTAAATAAGTTCTGCATTATCCAAGGAAACTGTAAGTGGATACACTACTTTTCTTATACTGTAATTCATAAAAGTAAGTTTAAATGATAACCTAAATTACAAAATGATTTGTTTGTTACTTTTAATCACTTAAGTTTAATGTGAGATAAATCATTCATATTAAACTGTAACTACGTAATAAACATTTTCATTCTTAAAACTATTTTATTTATCAGCTGTATAATAAGTGTTGTAAAAATTATTATTCTTATATAGGGTTAAATTCATTAAAGTATAAAAAATGGCTTAAAATGCTACCATGTAAATTTTTTGTATGTATAATTTTTAATCCAAAATGACCTTGGTCATCCATTTTATCCAAGTTTTTTGGTTATCTGAGGTAGCATTGTCCTCCTTCCCTTGGATAATTGGGTTTAATTATATTTAAAGAGTAAAAAAATCTCATTAAAAAAACAGTTTTATGTATTAAATATTACCTTGTGTTCCTGGCTCCATAGTATCTGTATTAAATGCTTAATTTCAGATAGCCAACTGTTTAAATTTTTCCCACAAAGGAATGTTTTCATCCTGTTTTAGAACAGCTTCAGCTTCTTAATGTCATTGTTCAAACTGAATTCAAACATTTATATTGTTTTGGTATTATTTATATTGTTTTTGATGGATTGAACAATATTCAAACAAAATTGCTTTCAGATGAACTAAAAGTACTGATATTCAATGATAATATTGTGCCTATATGGAATTTGATTTTAACAAATTAGAATGAAAATGTATAGTTCAAAATATTGTTCAATCTGTCAAAGCCCACCAGTGGCCAAGCGGTCTTCGTTCCCTGAACACTGGAAGTTTGATCGTGGGCTCGCCTCGTTCGGACAGGCTGGCCACATGGAGTTTCCTCCACATCTAACACCTAAATAGGAGCCAGTTTCCCTTAAAAAGACCTTCCAGAAGGCACCCCCTAGGCAGATCACCTAAGTTTTGCATTGCTATAACTAAACAAACATCAATCTGTCAAAAGTGATACTGTTCAAACTGAATTTGAGCATTTATGACTTATATTCATTAAGAAACAAGCTGTCCTAAAACAGGGCAAAAACATTCCTTCATGTGAAAAATTTAAATAGTTGGTTATCTAAAAATAAGCATTTAATATGGATAATTATTATGTATTGTTTTGTTTTTAATAATTCTTCTTTTTTTCTATAATGTAATATAATATTTTAATAATTTACATAAAAATTATATTTAAAAAATATTGAGCATTTTCAATGAGTTGCAACCAATTATGTGACTTTATATAATCTATAAAGTCAAGTTAAAACAATACAATATTTTCATTGAATGTGTTATTCATATTAATTTCAATCTGCCTGTATATAAATATTATGTATTCCAGACTTTTTTGATCCACAATACATATTTTTAGTTATTGCAGGTATACTGTACATAAGCCATTTTACTCATACCCTCTTTACAGGCACAATTATTCACATCCTCCAACTCAAAAAGAAAAAGTATGTATCAATATTAATAGGAACACAATAATTTTTCTTTTCTTACATTTAAACAATAATATCTGAAAATCTAATACATAAAAGTATAGAAACAAATACTTTCACAGTAATCATTTTATTGAAAATGAGAAATATTCCATACCCCATTGAGTTGCAGTCCTTGGGGAAATGCTATTTTTGTACTACTGAATTCTAGAATGTTGGGTAATTGAAATTGAAAATTAATTTATATCATAAATTTCTTTACATTGAACACTTAAAATGTTTTTCTTCCTTTACTTTGTAATAAATAACTTTTTATTAATTTAAAGTTGGTATATATTCTGCTCAAGAATTGGATTTGCTTTTTCTCTTATCTGGACAAATGGGTGGAGTAACTCATTTAATATTTTCATCGGATGGCATAAAATTATTCAGTGGAGGAAGAAAGGTATGGTACTTAGCAATATGAGCAATTTCATTTTTTATTATAGTATTTTATTAATATTAAAAATAACATTTCAGGATTGTGAAATTCTTTGTTGGGATATCAGAAATCCAGGAAAAGTGTTTTATAGTATGCGACGAATTGTTACAACAAATCAACGAATGTATTTTGATATAGACAGGTAAGGATACTTTAAACCTATATAATACTGAAATACTCTTAAGGTTTATAGTTTCATTTTGAATCTAGCACTGGCCAATACTTGATAAGTGGAAATGAAAATGGAGTGATCACTGTTTGGGATTTAAATAAACCACCTGAAAATATATCTGGTGAAAATGAACCCATTTTACATCCAATTCTATTCTTTCAAGCCCATAATGATTGTGTAAATGGAATCAGGTAGAATTTTGTCTTTTGATTTATATATTGTTTGAATTTAATAATAAGTATTTCACAAATTAAACAATTATGCAATACTTTCTTAGAACTAATTAAAAGTGAAATTGTGTAAAGTGAGTTAACATGAAAAAAACAACTTATTTTGCCTGTTACATTATGGCAATTGTTTGGCATTAATTAATAATGTCAGATTTTGAGATATTTATATATTCATTTTGTAAATTGATCATTATCTAGAACAGGGGTCGGCAACCTTTTGAGTCGGAAGAGCCAAAATTACAATTTACAAAATTTCAAAGTTTTTAAAGAGCCACAAAATTTTTTCTTGCTAACAATAAATAGTACTCGCATAAATAAAGTTTTTTGATTAAAAAAAACTAATTCATTCATAAGAAAAAATATCTATTTATTCATATATAAGTAGTGTTTTTCACAACAAATTAGATAATAGAAACATCCGACGATGGCGTCATTCGAGAGCTTCCGACGGACTGACGACTGTAACGACGCGTGTCACGGGGGCGAGTACAAGTGGCTGAGAGATAGAATCAGTGCCTAATCCTCGTTAATCGATTCAGAACGATTTTTAAATGTTTTTTTTTTTTTTTTGATAAAATAAGTAATATTTGCGTATGAAACTAAAGAGCCGCAGCTTCACATCCAAAGAGTAGCATGTGGCTCGCAAGCCGCAGGTTGCCGACCCCTGATCTAGAATATTGAAAGAATACATTTATTTTTTCAAATTCTAATTAGTACATCTGTAACTAGTAATTAAATTAATTATGAATCAGTTGATACAGACACTAAGTCTGGATCATTTCTATCTCGCTTCAAAGGTTCCGGATCAAAAAATTGGCAATTTTCAACTTTTTTGAAGAAAATGGTTGTAAAATTGAAGTCTTGAAATATTCAAGAATTTATAATGAAGTATTGTTTATGATGCTTTGGATTCTGCAGCTACAAGAGATTTGAACACTTATAACACTAGCTGCATTTGGTGATTGAATAGTAGCTGTAAGAATGTGATTTAATTCAATGTCTGTTTTGATTTTATGAAATCATGTTATATACAATCTCACTACAATTTTGCTATAACAAGGTAGGTTTTCTGTATGTGCAAGAGAAAACATATTTTTTTATTTCAGTTACACATTATTTTAGATTATTATTGTTAAATTCCAGTTACATATCTTTTTTTGTTTTGTGTTTCTAGATGTGATGTGAATTGTTTACAATTGTCTTTCATTCTCAGAAACATAGAGAGCTTCAGTTTTATTTTCAGACTATCTTACTACTTCTATATTTAGAAATTTAACAGAATTTAGATTACTGAGCAAAACAGCTGATAGCTTAATTTTAGAATATCCAGAACTCTGTATGGAAAGATGCAGTCATATATAAAGCTGATTTCATTAGGCTAATAGCCCCTCTGCTCTGCTAATTGTATAACATTCACAATAGTAAAAACAAACATTTTTCATCATTCTTAGCTGGTTTCTGTTTTTTTGTTATATCATTAAAACTTGATATTTGTAAGTAAAACAAGATTTCAAAAAATATAAAGTTTGTGGCCCCAAGTTATTTAATAGTAATTCAGTTTAGATTTTAGAATACATATTGAAAGTCATTTATTAAATAGGAAAAATATGGTGAAATAACTTAAATTTTTTAAAACAATACATAACTTCAAATTTCTACAACAAATTACAGTTGATACTTTGCATATTGATGTAATTTAAAAAAGCTCTTATAGTTTATTCATAATAATTTGCATGTAAAATCTATTTTGTTTGTCAATGTAACCAAATTTTTTAAATCTATATAATTGCTAACTTACTCATTGAATTATTATAAAAATTCAAAAACAGAAGTAAATTGACATTATAACTTACTTTCTCCATTTGCATTCAGTATGCTTCTGTAATTAATCATTATGAAATTTGTTGTTGCAATACAAGTATACTTTCAAATATTTGGTTTATTGCTTACTCACACTGTCTCTCTGGTTTTCTAGTATTCATCCATCACTTCCTCTTTTATTATCATCGTCCGGTCAGCGACAGTTTCCAGAACCAGAAGATTCAGAAGATAGTGGTAATGAGACAGAAAAGGAATGCAAGTCTGAGAATTCTATTCGTTTGTGGTGGAATGGTAAAAATGAGAACTAAGACAAAAATATTAGTGGTTTTTCACTGTAAATAAATCATAAGACTTGAACTCTTTTAATGTTTATTTTTTCATTAAATTCTATTACATAATTATGATGATGGAAAGAAATCTTATGTTGAAAATACAAACATTTCATAGTTAGATTCAATTATCATTATGTAAATAAAGAATAATTTTTATCCCTTTTAATAAAAAAATATTACAGAAAATTACATGATGGCCCAAATTATTTCACAAAACTTTTGTAATAATAAACTTCTGAAACTGTGTGTGAATATTTCTTTCTATTCTTGAGGCAGAATGCTGGTATTAGAATTTTCGGGTTTCATTCCTCTAATGGATAAATCATAGACAATTTCTTCTACTTTCTTTAAATCATATTTTAAGGCATCAAATCGTTTTCTAAGAGAATCATTTTTTAAATTCAACAAACGAAATCCTTTATTTAGTTCAGTAACAAAGCGAGAAATTTTGACAGGATAAACATAATTTCCAGCTGTTACACTATTCACGGCAAATCGTGACTATAAAATAAAATGACATGTTAATTTTTTAAATAGTGATTTATAATAATTATATATAAAATTTTACCAATTCATCAGCTAATGAAAGCAATCCCATTAAATAATCATCCAAATCAAGATGAAAACCATCTTCACAATTTACATGTACTGTTAAAAAAAAAAATTAAATTTTATATTGACAACAGAAATTACACTAACAACATATAAAATGCTTCTAATCAACAGTTTAATGGAATAGCATGTCAGAACAGAACCACCATTGTAATTAAAATTTGATGTACTGTACAGTAATTTTAACTCAGGAACAAAGAATAGATTGAAAGTTGATGTTCTTACAGGATGTCTACCAATGGGCAAAACTGAAACTGAATACTTTAAAATGTATTTATCAGAAAATGTTGACAGTGACTTTTTGAATCTAGAATAATTAAAGGAAGGGGTGAAAGTGTATATATTTTTCCATAATCTTACTTTTTGAATACACTCAAAAAAGTAGGGTAAAATAGGGCTCCCACTTGTCCTACTCTGATATACTCTTCTTTGTGATGCTGTGATAATTTTTTTGTTCATTAGATTATTTAAAATGTTAGATACATGTTTTAAATTATATGGCAAACACTGGAAGCTAGGCAATTCATTTCTGCCCTAATTATAAATTATTATTGTCATATTTGTACCCAAACCAAGAAATGTCAATTTATTGATTGAGAATTGTGACAAATCATGTTCACAACAAATATAGCCTGGAATATTGAACAGAATGATATAATTTTGATTATTGCATGAAACTTAACAAATGACCATGTTAAAGGCATCAGCCAGCTCCTCTGGAGATCTGGCCTGGATTCCAGAAAGTGCCATTAATAACACTATTGCAGTTGTAGAGCATTCTACTGTTAACAAAAACAAACAAGCATCCTATATCAAGAGTATAAAAATGTCAGCGCTTCCACTGGCTATGTATGGCCAATAAAAAGTTAGAAGTTTTACTTTCCATGAGCTTAATGTTTGATCAGTTGATTTTGAAAGTGGAGCAAGTCCATTTTATGAATTTGAATGAGTCTATTACTGCTTATGAATATTTTTAGACTTATTTTATATTTTTTTGGTTTTATTTCATATAAATTTAATATGCAATAACGGTTATCTGCATTAGGTGAAAAAAATAATGATTTTGGTATGTGCTCCACTTTTTCCTATAAAACTGAATAAGTTGCATGCATATAATTATATTTCTTACTTTAGATGATGTAGATTTTTAAAGTACAGCTGTCCCTTGATAATCCGACAGGATTGGGACCAAAGGGCTGTCGGATTACCGAAAGTGATTACATATTTGGCATTGCTTTGCTAGCAGTAGCCTACAATATTTCCTACTTCAACTGTTCGAACAGAAATGCTCACGGAAAACACACAAAATGTGTGTCATCGTGTAAGAATTGGGTGGGGAGATTCACGTTGCGACATGCTTCTGTGCAAGCAGACACGTAACGGGGACGGTTACCTTGACGGGAGGTGCATCGGACTACTGAGCATGTCGGATTACAAAACGTCGGACTATCAAGGGACAGCTGTATTCATGATAAATGGATGGTACAGTACATAAGATATGCTTTATTACCCTCACATTTTTCTTTAGAGTGAACTTGCCTCACTTTCAAAATCAACTCACTGTAAATATTGTTGACAATATAAATTACAAGTAATAAATTTATTGTGAATTGATTAACATAAAATTTATGTTTTTAACTCGTAATAAGAATTAGCTTTAACTATTTTTTCACAAAATGGACTTGCCCTACTTTCAAAATCAATGCTAATTTTATATTACCATGACTCAGCAAATGCTAAAATCAGTTTATAATGAATCATGAAAGCTTTAAATAAAGAATGTATTCTGTAGTCAATAATTATTAAATATATTTAGAATATATCATAAAACAAATAATTTAGAAATAAATTCAAAATAGATATCAAGTCATCCAAACAAAAACATCTGAGATTTAAAAAATTATGATAATTTCAATGACAGTCAAAGTTCTTAGGATTTTTCTTTGGTAAAGATAAGCTTGGTGGTTCAAAGCAAAATGTAGAAAACTGTGATAAGTATCTTAAGCTTGGCACTTTGAAGCAGTACTCTTAAAATTTTTTTGTTTTCTATATTTTGCTTTGAAGCATCAAGTTTATCTTTACCAAAGAAAAACTCCTAAGAAAAGAAATTTGACTGCCATCAGAATTTTCATAATTGGTGCAATAATTTGTTTAAATATATATACTGTATATTTAAAAAACTTTAGTTAAAACTTTTCTACCCCAGTAAGAGAGAGTAATGCTGTATTCTCAGATACAGCATTAAAAACTCTTACTTGAGAATATGGACCAGATCCTATTTTAAACAGCTTTGTATAACTCCATTTATATAGTTTTCATGGATTAAAATGAAGAAAGTGACTTACTTATCCTGTCACTTCTAATATTTATACTTATTAGTTTCATCATTCTTAAAAATAACTAAAGATTATCATTTTCTGACTTATTTTCCCTTTTACATTCTATAACAGCAGGAAAGTAATTATGGTGATCAATCGAATTTTGACCCCTCCTTCAGTTTATTTTTATTTTTTTTTGCATTTCTTGATGTTTTGACACAAGTCAAAAATGTAACAGCATCCTTACAAAATGATGTGTGTATGTCTATTTTGCATTATATCTCAGGACTAGATGAACCAAAAGTTTTGAAACTTGAAAGGGTTATTTCTATATTTGGGGCTTCAATGCTATTAAATTTTGGTATTTTAAGGTCAAGAGGTCATATCTCAAGTGGGATCAGATTTAATGAAATTTTACTTCTGACATTTACAATCTTTTAAAAATTCATCTCTATCCTCAAAATTATATTATAAAACAGCAAAAGGCTTAAAAATTATTTTTAAATAAAATCTCATTAGCACAAAGTTAAAATTGTGTGTAGTGCCATTTATAGTGTTTTTTAAACAGAGAAATTTCTCATAAGGCAATAAAATCACTTTCACTCAAATTTTCAATATTATTTAAATTTTATATTGTACAGTAATTGTACTTAAAAATAACTATATATATAACTGAAAATTGTTGGACTTCCTAATGGTTGCTTTAACTTCCTGTTCAAGTACTGGGGAAGTTGAGCAAGAGCCCTTGCCAACTTTTATAAAGTGTAATTTAATATAATAGCAATATTTTGTATTTATTTCATATGAACAAATAAAATTTATGCACCGACTAGTCCCCACTTATAGAAACATTACACAAATGAGAACTTCAGAAACCAAACAGAAAATAAAGGAAAATTCTGTTTATATGTTGATTCTGTATTCTGAAATGTAGATGTTCCTTTTGGATACAACAGTAATGTTATTTGAATATCTGTTTTAATATGTTGGAATTGAAAGGTGGACACTAATATCAACAACATCTCATGTTTGATTCCTAATCTTTTGTGCATTCCTAATCTTTTTCAAAAAGTTAAGTATTGATGGATATCTAAGAACTTTCAAATACAAGAAAGTTTAAACTTGATTTATACTGCTATAAGTGACTGATGCTTTGTTGTGTCTGTTATGCTGATCTATTGACATTACAAGCATTCCTATTTTCTATTGCATACTGATTTTCTCTGTTCTTATAAGAAGAAATGAAAGTTTAAATATTTTTTAATTCAAGTTTCTGGACTATACCCACACTACGAAAACAAAAATTTTTCTGTATTATCTTTGCATTGCTTTTCAGTAGTAGTTTTCCTCAAATTGGAATCAAACTTTACAATTTATACGTATTTCCAGTTCTGTTCATTATTTTGACATGGAAAGTCATCAGCTTAATTAACTGGAAGTCAGTAAAATTGGATGATATACCCATTGAAAAAGTTTTGGAGAGAATACTGAATTCTATAATTAATTATGAAATATAAATTAAATTACATATGTATTTTGAATTTTCAATAAGTAATTCACATTGCACAGTCTAGCAATGCAGAACAGCTTGAAAATTCAAGATATGAAACATAATTTTTAATTGTCTAAATTCTAAAAAATTACTTTTTAATCATATGTTGTTACAATATAAATTTTGTAATTACTTACCTCCCAAAATTTCTGCAGCTTCTTTTCTTTCCAGAAGAGTTTCAGTTTGAAGATATTTGATAAGAGCAGCCAAAAATACTAATCGTTGAGTTATAAATCGCCAATGATCATGATATCTATTATATGAATTCTTTTAATTAGTATTATTAATTATTAGTTTTATAACTATTGCTATTGCTACTACTTTACTAATACTATAACACACTTTAACCATTTGAAAGCTTTATCAGCTGTAAGGGTAGAAGGATAAATAGGTAATGGTTCCAAGTAAAACTAGGGGTGAGGCAAAGATGTATATTGTCCCCTTTATTATTCATAATTTTCATGGATAATTTAATAAAATAATCAAAACTATTGACAAACTTCAGTTTGGGAAATATAAAATTTGGTTCTTTATGCAGATGACATTGTCCTACTAAGCAATAAACCTGAGGACTTCCAGCAATCTTTAAATAATTTAGAGAAAAGTTGCAGGAATTTCGGTATTTCAATCAGCTACGAGAAAATGAAGGTTATGGCTATTAGTAGAGAGAAAGAGACTTTAACAGTTAAACTTGGTAACAAATGCTTAGAGCATGTCAATAAGTTCTCATACTTGGGAACAATCTTTAGGGATGATGGAAAGTTAGATTTGGAAATCAGAAATAGATTAAACAAAGCAGTTTAGGCAGGGCACCAATTGATCAAATATATCTGGAACAAAAAGAAGTAAGCAATAATACAAAACTAGCTGCGTAAAACACAGTTTTTAAACTTATATTGACATATGGTTCTGAGAGTTGGGTGAGAAATATGGGAATTGACCAAAAATTAGAAGCAGCAGAAATGAGAGTTTTTAGAAAAATTAGTGGTGTTAATAGATGGATACAGTGGCAAAACCATATTAAAAATGAAGACATAAGAAAACAAATATTCAGTCAAGAGTAAGCAAGGCTAATCAGAGATGGTTTGGCCATTTGAAAAGAGCGGGAGAAGACCAACTGGCCAAATAGGTATCTGAGGCTAAAATCAAAGAGAAAGAAACCAAAGGTGGATTGATAGGGTTAAGCAGGCTTTAGAGGAAAAGAATTTAACTTTAATCCAGGCTTAAAACTTAGTCTGTTGATAGGAGAGTTTGGAAAAAAGTAGTGGATGGTAGTATAAAAGTTTGATTTTTTTTACCATGTTGACCTGTACACCCTCTGGGTATCAGCAGGAATGGATGATGTGATCAGTGGAATACAGTAGAACCTCGAAAACTCGGCTCTCGATAACCCGGCACTCTGGATAACTCGGCCACACCCTGGCAGGGCAAAAAAATCTTTAGTTAATTAATTTTCATTATAGACAGCTTTATAAAAGTATAAAAGCTCTCATAAAGTATTTTTCTGAGGTCTGTCTTATCAGGTAAATTACTGTACACAGTGTATTCATTAATTTTCATTTTCATGTNGATTAATTTTATGGAAGAAACCTTTCAAACAGCTGTAGTCTGTAAACTGCATACATGCCGGGCTGTGATTGGCTGGACTCGTAGAAAATGGATTCATAAAAACTGAAACGTATCTACTGTGTTATGGGGGGTCGACTGTAGCTATTCCTTTACTTCAGTCTGCACAGTATTTGGCATTGATGTCATCCAAGTATTGCATTTGCATCATAACCCAGGTCATAACTATATGAAATGACAAGGAACAGTATTTCTCACACTAACATTCTTCTTTCACCCCTTACTCTCTGTTTACTTTTAAACTTGAGTGAGGCTACCATTGCTGCCCTCACTCAAGTCTAAGAGTGAGGAGAGTTTTTGAGTCATGAGAAGTTTAAGAGTAAACAGAATAAAAAATATCACAAGAAGTTGACTATTATCACCAGATGAAACAAAAACAGACCAAATACTACGCTACATGAACAGCCACAAGGTAAAATAGAATTCATATATTCATATTTGTCTAATTCAGCCTTTTCTTTTTCTATTGAGCATTGTCATGTTTAAATGACCATAGTTTGCATATACAGTCGACCCCCCCATAAGATCATAGATACGTTCCATTCTTTAGGAATCCGATTTCTTACGAGTCCTTCCAATCATAGCCCGACACGTGTGAAGTTTACGGACTATGGCTGATTGAAAGGTTTTCTTCCATAAATTTAATCAATTCTAGAATAATCCGACTCAACATTTCCAAAATACGTATATATTTTTTGGAAATAATCCGTATAAACTACGCTATAAACAAAAAATTGTAGGATTACTTACCGAGTATGCACCATTCGACATCGCCATTGCTAAAGCTTGTTTTCGTCGCGGAACAACTCAGCAAATAGCGGCCGATTTCTAACAACTTATTTTTCTGCGAAAACTTCGTTGAACTTTGGAGACATCATTANTTTTAAAATGTGAGATCATTGTGAATATTGCACACCTTAGGGAGTCAACTGATAAACAGATCAATAATATATCATCAGGATCAGTTCCATACCAAATTTATTGTTCCATATAGTAAGGTAAAAATTTTGAATGGAAATTATGTGACTTCTAATCCAGATAGGAAATTTATATATACAGTGGGTGATCAGTTAATGAACATAATCCGTTCCAAGACTTTGTTCATTAACCGATTATTGATATACCATAGGTTTTTATGGAATTTGATTAATTTGTTCTGAGACTCCAAAAAATAAAAAGTATATACTTTTTTACTACTTTTATTTATATGTAATAGTAAAAATACATATATATACAGTCTTACATTTTTATTAGTCATGTTTTTCCCGTTTGTAGGAATTAAAGAATCTGTCCAATGTCAATTGCTTTTCTCTTTTCTTCAGGATTTTTTGGAAGTAATTAATAGTATTGTAATTGTAGAGATCCCCAACCCCATTAACCTTATTCTGGTTTGGATGATCGTTGTTCTGACATCCTCCCACTTCTTCAAAAGATCTTTAGTAGCAGATGTCAACATTAGTCCTCTTTCGTCTTCCTCTTTTTCAAAAAGAAAACACATCTTGCTGAGTTTCTTGGTATTCTTCATTTGAGAGTTCTTGGAGTTCTTCTGTCGTCAGATCAGTTTCAGGTTCCATTATGAGTTCTAAAATGCTCTATATTTCTCAGATGTGATTTTCATTACTCCAGTAGCAGCTTGAGCTTGATATATCTTTCATAGCTAAGATTGTGCCTACTGTAGACCTGACCTGTTCAAGCCATACTGCCTAGCAACATCAGACATCTGACACTCCTCTTTTTAGGCTCCATAATATTATCAGTTTCTTTTTTAAATAAAAAGTTCAGAAAAGTACTTACAAAAATTCAGAGAACAGAAATCAACTAGCCCACAAAAAATTATTTAAATGCAAGGCCCGGATGAAATTCAAAATTTGGTATTAAAACGTTAACAAATATCCAATGGGACAGTTAAACTTTCACCTTTCATAAATAAACTCTGATGCAAAACTTAAAGTTTTGTCCAACAGTCTCGCAAAGACTATAAAAAATTATTTGTCAGAAAGGTAAACAAAAAGCTGGAATTACAAGGGAGAGTTTCAAAATTCAGAGGAATACTATCTGATTGGTATCGGGTTGAGCGTCGATGTTGACATCTCCTGCACTCTGAAAGGTTTCGAATTGTTACCTGAAGACAAGGGAAAATCAATTGGTATTCGTTATTTTCCGTTGCTTCTTTTTATGTTTGTTCAGTAAAGTGTTTGTTGTCCGATAATAAAAATCTTTCACGAAAGTGTTTGTTATCCAATTTGTTTGCTATCCGAACTGTTCTTTAACCAATCATCCACTGTAGTTAATAGGGGCTTCTGGCCTTAAAAATCAAGACTAGATATGAAAATCTTAATTTATCTAACTCTGTTCCTGAGATTAACAAAAGGATGGATAGACAGACAGCAGTGGAAATGTATAGGTCCGCAATTTGAAAACTGCAGTTCAAAAATAATTGTAGGAAAATTAAGAGTTCAATTGCAGATGAAATTGAATACTCAAATATTCTTAACAACAATACTTGAAATAACTGAAATGAAGGTGGCTATCAGACTGATGCTTTATAATTTAGAAAATATAAAATTATTAAAAACTTAATAACTTATATTCAAAAATTTTGTAACCATTTGTTTCAATAATTGATTTAAAAACTCCTTATATTTATTTTTGATTACCTGTAATATTGATCTTTGGGAATTTTTGCACTTAATTGCAAGAACTTGCTTCTTACTGTAGCATATTGTAAAGTTCCTTTTTCACAGATCACTGGAACTAAAATTAAATTATATTGAAAATAAATTATAAACAATTCTATTACAAATTTAATTTCATAATTACAAATTAAATACAATTTTGAATAATAATTAGAACTAAATAATTAATCCACATTTTTTTAAAACTTACTAAAAAAAAAAAATTAGAACTCAAAATATTATAACACAAAAGATGACAAATAAATAATTTGTTTAGTTTAAAAGAATTTGTAAAATAATTTTAAAAAAACTATATATAATAAACATTTGTAAATTAAAACATGTATAATTCAAAAATATAAATCAATAATATAATAGCCAAAAATGTTAGTTCATATTAAGTGTAAATTAACATCTAAAATTAAAGCAATGTTTTTATATTTGTTGATAACAGATATTCTTAATTTTTCAAATACAAGTTTGATTACTGATAATATATGATTCCTGCAAACATATTGCAGACATTTTTGATCACATTATAATTCAATTTAAGATATTAATACAATATTACAAATGTTCTTGTAACATAGAATCCAGAAGTTAAATTTGAATATTTCAATTTCAATTACTTTATTCAATTTATTGAATATGTATTGAATAACTGAAATTTCTTTATTGGAAAATCAAATAGAGTCTACGTATTTGCTCCCAAAGACAAATCTATACAAATAAAACTAATGATCAGTCTATTTGTCAGTTTGGATGTTTGTTGCTGCATCACATTAAAATGCCAGAACATATTTTAACCAAACTTCATATTTCAAATCTGTCAATTCAGGAGAAGGTTTAAATATACATATGATCTCAAAATTTACATTATATAAATTAAACTGTAATGGATTTCTGTCTTTTTCTTCATGTCTATTTTTCTTCATTTTTTGTTAAAATATAATATAAACAAATACAAAATAAGTATGTTAGGTAAAGGATTCCATATCTTTCAATGTATCTGCAAGACAGCAATAGGTTGTTAGTGATCATGAGCTATTGCATTTATATAGTAGCCTTCCTACCTATGCTAAGTCTATACAAGCCATCAGCCATGCCGATGATCCACATTCAGAAATTTCTGATTATATATCTGACTATCATAATATTAATTATAAGTTGACTATATCCAAAACAAAAAATTTTATAGACTTATGGGATATTCTGCAGATATTCTCATCTAATAAGTTAGTAAATTTGAAATATTTATATTTTCTTGAAAAACACTAATCAGTACAATACATACAAATCTACTTTAGGCAAGAATTATTAAATAAAATCATTTAGTGACTGTCACAAAGTCAGGCTGCAGTTTTTAATCATATTTTAATTTAAATAATCTTCTTTCAAAATGAATCAAAACAAATTATTTAAATTTTTAAAATGTGAGATCATTGTGAATATTGCACACCTTAGGGAGTCAACTGATAAACAGATCAATAATATATCATCAGGATCAGTTCCATACCAAATTTATTGTTCCATATAGTAAGGTAAAAATTTTGAATGGAAATTATGTGACTTCTAATCCAGATAGGAAATTTATATATACAGTGGGTGATCAGTTAATGAACATAATCCGTTCCAAGACTTTGTTCATTAACCGATTATTGATATACCATAGGTTTTTATGGAATTTGATTAATTTGTTCTGAGACTCCAAAAAATAAAAAGTATATACTTTTTTACTACTTTTATTTATATGTAATAGTAAAAATACATATATATACAGTCTTACATTTTTATTAGTCATGTTTTTCCCGTTTGTAGGAATTAAAGAATCTGTCCAATGTCAATTGCTTTTCTCTTTTCTTCAGGATTTTTTGGAAGTAATTAATAGTATTGTAATTGTAGAGATCCCCAACCCCATTATCCTTATTCTGGTTTGGATGATCGTTGTTCTGACATCCTCCCACTTCTTCAAAAGATCTTTAGTAGCAGATGTCAACATTAGTCCTCTTTCGTCTTCCTCTTTTTCAAAAAGAAAACACATCTTGCTGAGTTTCTTGGTATTCTTCATTTGAGAGTTCTTGGAGTTCTTCTGTCGTCAGATCAGTTTCAGGTTCCATTATGAGTTCTAAAATGCTCTATATTTCTCAGATGTGATTTTCATTACTCCAGTAGCAGCTTGAGCTTGATATATCTTTCATAGCTAAGATTGTGCCTACTGTAGACCTGACCTGTTCAAGCCATACTGCCTAGCAACATCAGACATCTTGTGCCCACTTTCTACCTTGGCTATTATCTCTTACTTGGTTTCTACGGTGAGCACAGTTCTTGACACTCCTCTTTTTAGGCTCCATAATATTATCAGTTTCTTTTTTAAATAAAAAGTTCAGAAAAGTACTTACAAAAATTCAGAGAACAGAAATCAACTAGCCCACAAAAAATTATTTAAATGCAAGGCCCGGATGAAATTCAAAATTTGGTATTAAAACGTTAACAAATATCCAATGGGACAGTTAAACTTTCACCTTTCATAAATAAACTCTGATGCAAAACTTAAAGTTTTGTCCAACAGTCTCGCAAAGACTATAAAAAATTATTTGTCAGAAAGGTAAACAAAAAGCTGGAATTACAAGGGAGAGTTTCAAAATTCAGAGGAATACTATCTGATTGGTATCGGGTTGAGCGTCGATGTTGACATCTCCTGCACTCTGAAAGGTTTCGAATTGTTACCTGAAGACAAGGGAAAATCAATTGGTATTCGTTATTTTCCGTTGCTTCTTTTTATGTTTGTTCAGTAAAGTGTTTGTTGTCCGATAATAAAAATCTTTCACGAAAGTGTTTGTTATCCAATTTGTTTGCTATCCGAACTGTTCTTTAACCAATCATCCACTGTAGTTAATAGGGGCTTCTGGCCTTAAAAATCAAGACTAGATATGAAAATCTTAATTTATCTAACTCTGTTCCTGAGATTAACAAAAGGATGGATAGACAGACAGCAGTGGAAATGTATAGGTCCGCAATTTGAAAACTGCAGTTCAAAAATAATTGTAGGAAAATTAAGAGTTCAATTGCAGATGAAATTGAATACTCAAATATTCTTAACAACAATACTTGAAATAACTGAAATGAAGGTGGCTATCAGACTGATGCTTTATAATTTAGAAAATATAAAATTATTAAAAACTTAATAACTTATATTCAAAAATTTTGTAACCATTTGTTTCAATAATTGATTTAAAAACTCCTTATATTTATTTTTGATTACCTGTAATATTGATCTTTGGGAATTTTTGCACTTAATTGCAAGAACTTGCTTCTTACTGTAGCATATTGTAAAGTTCCTTTTTCACAGATCACTGGAACTAAAATTAAATTATATTGAAAATAAATTATAAACAATTCTATTACAAATTTAATTTCATAATTACAAATTAAATACAATTTTGAATAATAATTAGAACTAAATAATTAATCCACATTTTTTTAAAACTTACTAAAAAAAAAAAATTAGAACTCAAAATATTATAACACAAAAGATGACAAATAAATAATTTGTTTAGTTTAAAAGAATTTGTAAAATAATTTTAAAAAAACTATATATAATAAACATTTGTAAATTAAAACATGTATAATTCAAAAATATAAATCAATAATATAATAGCCAAAAATGTTAGTTCATATTAAGTGTAAATTAACATCTAAAATTAAAGCAATGTTTTTATATTTGTTGATAACAGATATTCTTAATTTTTCAAATACAAGTTTGATTACTGATAATATATGATTCCTGCAAACATATTGCAGACATTTTTGATCACATTATAATTCAATTTAAGATATTAATACAATATTACAAATGTTCTTGTAACATAGAATCCAGAAGTTAAATTTGAATATTTCAATTTCAATTACTTTATTCAATTTATTGAATATGTATTGAATAACTGAAATTTCTTTATTGGAAAATCAAATAGAGTCTACGTATTTGCTCCCAAAGACAAATCTATACAAATAAAACTAATGATCAGTCTATTTGTCAGTTTGGATGTTTGTTGCTGCATCACATTAAAATGCCAGAACATATTTTAACCAAACTTCATATTTCAAATCTGTCAATTCAGGAGAAGGTTTAAATATACATATGATCTCAAAATTTACATTATATAAATTAAACTGTAATGGATTTCTGTCTTTTTCTTCATGTCTATTTTTCTTCATTTTTTGTTAAAATATAATATAAACAAATACAAAATAAGTATGTTAGGTAAAGGATTCCATATCTTTCAATGTATCTGCAAGACAGCAACACATCACATAACCTAAAATATAAATTTTCGTCTACAATTACGTATCTTTTACAATTACAATTTTTATTTTATTTAATATATCTGTGTATATTAAATAAAATAAAAAATTGTTTTCTGTGAAACTCTGTAGCATTATCTGTAAAGCCAGTATAATAAGTCCTGATATTAGAAGATACGTAATTGTAGACGAAAATTTATATTTTAGTAAGTCAAGGACATTGAGGCATTTTAATTAAACATCACATAACCACTTGATGGGCAGCTGATATTGTTATCTATAAGAAAGTTATACTATTAAAATATAGTATTATGTTTGAAGAACTAATATAAAAAGTAATTAGTGAGAAATTAGCAAAACATGAAAGTTGGAACTACACATATGCTTGGTGGATTTTTTGAAACATTTCATGTTGTATTCTTGGTTACTTAGGTCTAACTATATTGGTATAGGTTTTATTTATATAAAAACGTTAAATTCTGTTAAAATATAATATAAACAAATACAAAATAAGTATGTTAGGTAAAGGATTCCATATCTTTCAATGTATCTGCACTAAATTTGATATGAATATTCTTCAAAACCTTAGAAAAATACCGTGGAGTCTTCATCCCCAGCCACTCCTAAAGTCCAAGCAATTTTGTGTTTTGCAGTTTCACTATTGTAAATACTCAGGTCAATAAATGTACATTTTAATTACTAAAAACCATTGTTTTTAACACCTTCTTCCAACCCAACCTCACTAATACTCCACCACCTCAAAAGCTTGAGCAATGCCAGGAACATACAGCTAGTAAGTCTAATAAATAGGATTGCAGCATTTCTTCACATTTTTACATCATGAATGCACTTAAAAACAAAATTTGTTTTACCATTTCATGAAAAGATGTCTTAAAGCTTTAATGAACTAATTATTTCTATAATTGCACTGAATACCCCCATGATCAAAAAGTATAGGAAATGGTTCAGTAAACACAAGATTTGATTTTATTCATCAAAATTTATTTTGTCCCCTTCAAAGTAGTCCTCTCCTACTGCAATGCACTTATGCTAATGATTTTTTCCAATACTCAAAACATGTGTTAAAGTTATTTTTGTGAAACCCCTTAAGAACTGGCAGCAAATTTTATTTTATGGCATCAATCAACTCAAAAATGATGACCAAGAAACAGAACATTTACTCAAGGAAACAGGAAAGAGAGACAGTGCCATATCAGGTGAATACAGAGCTTGCAGAACTGTGTTATTTGTGAATTTTCAGCCAAAAATTCGTGAACAACAAGAGCATTGTGAGCAGGTATATTATTGTAGTGCAAAATCCATGAGTTTTCTCACCACAAATCAGGTTATTTTCTACAAATTACTTCATGCAAACAATGCAAAATGCTCAAATAATATTCTTTGTTGACAGTTTGGCCAATTGGAAGAAATTTGTGATGCCCAACACCACAACAATTAAACAAAAAACAGTCAACATGATCTTGATTTTTGATGGATTCTAACATAGTCTTTTTGGTCTTGCGTTCAAGCATCATTCACTTGATTATTGAGCTATATCGGTGTAAAAGCATAGTCCACATATCATCATCTGTAATGATGTGTTTTAAGAACAATTTGGCCTGAGAACAGCACTGTGGAGTCGGAGTCATGGAGTTTTAGCTGGAGTCAGTGTCGTCAAAAAATCCGCCGACTCCGACTCCTTTTTACTTACCAACTTGTAATGTATATAAAACGGAAAAGTATTGGAATCGTGTCAAATTTGACCCTCCCAAGTTTTTTTTTACAAATCTACAGGTTTGGACACCTCCCGAACCCATCAAAAAAAGTCAATAAAAGGGGAAAAATTGTATGTGTGTGTGTGTTGGCGTCTAATTTGTTTAATATTTTTATTTTCTGTTCCAAGATATTAAACAATATCTCAGAATGGGTAAAGTTTAAGAAGCAAAATGTGGCACTGTAGTTTGTGTATAAAGGGGTATTAATACTATTAAATTTTGGTTCTTAATTAAAGGTCAACAGGGTGAAGACATAAAAGTGGTCATGTGTCATATCTCTTAATGAATATTTTACTTGTTATTAGCATTCAAAATTTAAAAAAATAAAACTTGTCTCTACCCTCAAAGTAAGTTTTTTTTTGTCATTTTATAATAGTGTAGGTTCCAGACAAGGTTCAAACTCGAGTAAACTGACATTCTTGTGCGACACAAGATGTAAACAACGAGACTCGGAACTGTTAAAGTATGTGTCAAATTATCTGTCAAGGTCTTAGCGGAAGACAAACTCTAACATGAGTGCTTATAAATAGGTAGATCATTGACTCGCGAGTCTATAAAATGTTGGCCAAGATAAACCTTTTCGAACAAAAAAAAAGGAGAATTTTTGATAGATGAAAGATGAAAATGATCGTTAAATTCTTAGATGTCAAAAAAATGGTAAACAATGGCCTGAATTATGAGTGCAGGTGTTATTGTTTTATAAACAGTCACCGAGCAGAGTCGACAAAGAGGTATCAGATGGACACCTCAAATCAGATCTTTCCCGCGACCCGAAAAGGTTTCGTCTTGCATCTAGAGACAAAGGAGAGACCAATCGGGAAGTGAGGAATGGGACAAGGGACCAATCCAAAATGTGAATAGTGGGGGAAAAACTATAAAAATCAGAACTTCAAGGTCGAAGGAGTGTCTCCTCTGGATTAAGCCTACAGTTGGGCTTTATCTATTGTGTTGTGCTACTGCCGAACACCTAAGACACTGCAGCTTAACACCGAACATCTGCATCGTCCAGCGATCCTTCTCGTCCGCCCAGACTACGACCGATCACCCGAACTCTCGCCATTTCATAGGAACACCGAGATTTTGGAATTGTCCAATATCGATGTAAGCATAAATTTGAACAAATAAACGGGTTTTCTCTTGTAAAACACTTGTTCTTCATTTGCCTCCTTCGCAACCGCCCACCTATGCGGTTTCCCTTAGGCTCATTCTGACGCGGGATAAACTGTACTCCCCTTAAAGTCAGCAACCTTACAATAGTACAGTAAAACCCGTTAAGATGTTCTCGCCTAAGATGTTAGAATGTGTATGGGGACATGATTTAGTTCAACCACTTTGACACTTAATAAATAACTCCTGTGTTAAACCATCTGACTCCAATTCTGACCACTCTGACCACAGAAATTATTAGGCTTCAAACAGGGTGAACAAAATCATGCCCCCCATACACAGTCTAACATCCACACATATAGGAAAAAAACCTAGAATCTTTTGCATATCTTGAAATTTCAAGGTGTCTAGAGTCCAAAAATGTAAAAATTTGGGAGGGGTCATTTTTTGACTGAACGCTACACTTTTTCTCTGTTATATATAACAGCTGGAAAAGTAAAAATTATCGAATACATATTTATATATTACTTAGAGAAGTCTTTTAACTTTGGAATAAAAAGTTTCTATGCTGTATCTTTATTAGAACTCTATTTATTGAATCTTTTATTCTGAGGTCACATGATGACATCAGAATTTCCGGGTCTCTTTCGATAACAAGTCCGCCCCTGGTCGGAGTCGAATGGTAAGGAAAAGTCTGAGTCGGTAGATTTTTACGCGACTCCACAGCCCTGCCTGAGAAAGCATTTGCTTGGCTACTCAAACACATTGTTTTCGGGAAAAAGTTTAACATTTTCAGGACAAGTCAAGAAGCAACATGCCACAAGCCCAAATGATCTTTTAAAATTGCTTGATAAGATCCAAATTATACTAGAACATGTTCAATAATGTCCCTAATTATTGAACAGTGATCACTGAGCACCAAATCTGACTTGAGCAACATGTTTTTCATCAATTGAAATGGATGGTCTACCAGAGCATAGTTCATCTTTGATGCATTCTCTGCCTTCCTTGATTGAACATTTTTTACCAGTTGAAAATTCTTGTTCTTGTCATCACCAAAGGCTTTTTTGTGCAACATTTTCAATGTTTTTGAAACAGTAATTCTGTTGTGAGAACAAAATTTAATGCATATTCTATGCTCAATTATACTTGACAGTTTGAAAAATCACTAGTATAAAAATTCATTACACACAAAACACATTTATTTGCAAACGAAAATAGACAATAACATATGGATTGCTGCTAGATATCAATAAAAGTAGTACCAAATGACAAAAAAAAAAAAAAATGACAACAGCACCCACTTGCACATAAATAAACCATTCTTGAAACTTTTTGATCACAGTAGTATACTACATATATTTCTACAGATCATGCCAATAAAAGTACCAAATATTAAATAGTGAGGAATTTTTTTTTTTACTATTTCAATAGTAATTTTCTAAGTTATAAAGATAAAAATAAAAATAAATTCTTCAGTATATCACTTATACCTACATGATTTCATATATGCCAATTAAAGATTCAGTGTATGAGACATATGTAAAATGGATAATTTTAAAATTGTTAAAACAAAAAAAGACCAAAGATCTATTTATATCTTGCAAAAAATTTTTAAAGTTTTACTAAAATAATTAATACTGTTATGTTACAAATTGCTATACAAGTAATTTTGCAAAATGTAAAGATACTTTCACAATTCATCATTTTAATATTTTTTATAAAGTTGGTTAAATAATTATTAGAAGTTTAATCATTTGAATTAGTTTTTAAAGTAAAAACTCAATTTTTAGATTATATTTTTAAATTAATTAATTTGTAGCCTACTAATAATCTGAAAATAAATGTTCATTATTTAATATATTCTTAATTCCAAGGAGAGTAACTTAAATATAATAATAATAATTTGATATTATATATATTTCAAACACTTTTCTGAAATTACAATAATGAAATGAAAATATAGATATGTCTTCATTTAAATTCAATCTTTATATGAATATAAATTATTTACATATATCTTAACATTTTTATTTGCACTTTGTAATTATCTATGTAAAGAAATAATACAAGAGAGTCAAAATAAATTCAAACTGATTTTTTCGTGTTGAAGTATAGTGCTAATGAATTTTGGATTTATAATACTGTATGGAATATTTTATCAATGTATCTATCCAAAAAAAATTACATAACAATATGATGCTTTGTTTAGTTATAGAAGTACACAGAACAAATTTAGTCTGCTGTTCACCTATGGCAAAATTGAGCAGTATACATTGTTGAAATTTTACTTCCATTGTAAAAAAACAAACTATAAATACTTATGAAATACTATATAATATTATATTATTAGCTATATTATAAATGCTATACTATATCACACTACAAGCTATATTATAGTGAAGGTGGTTTCCATGATGCACAGTATTTTGATGGTTCAACACATTGTTTGAATGATGCAAATCAACCTTGAAGTAGATCTATAGACTCTTGTGAATGTGTTGACTGAATTCATTTACAGTTGGTGTTGTCATTAAAAAAAACTGCCAAGTTATCATTGATAAACTTGCAACTTATTGAATCTCTCCCTTGAGAGTCTATGCACTTTAGCATAATCATTAGCACTTGAAATATATTTATTTTCAACAGGTTCCCAGATCTGATGACTGACAAAAGCACTCTATGAAAACTTGTAATTTGTAGTGGCTGATCTGGGAAATGCATTTCTGTGATCAGCTGTCACTGGTAATGAAATCTGACAACAACATGATTTCTGAGAGCAAATCAACTAGCAGTGTGGAAATCACCATTATCTCCCATTTAAAACAAGGCAAGAGTTGTTATGTCAGCTATCAACATTACGTTGATAGCTGACATAACAACTCTTGCCTTGGTAACTGTCACCATCACCATTGCCAAATAATAATGTACCAATATGATGTGCTACTATATACGAGGCATGTTTTTTAAGTAAGTACAGTAAACCCCGTAAAATAAGATAGATACGTTCCGTTTTATATGAATTCGTGTTTTACAATCACTTAAATACATGAGCCAATCATAGCCCGGCACGTATGCAGTTTAGGGACTACGCCTGTTTAAAAGGTTTTCTTCCATAAAATTAATTGATTCTAGACTAATTTGACTCAACATTTCCAAAACACATATAATTTTTTGGGAATATTCCATATAAACTATGCTATAAACAAAAAATTGTAGGATTACTTACTGAGTGTGCACCGTTCAACTAAGCCATTGCTTAAGCTTGTTTTCGTTGTGGAGTGGCACATCAAACGGCGGGTGCGTGTTTTCTGATAAGTTATTTTTTTGCAAAAAATTCACTAAACTTTAGTGACATCAGTAATATAAATATAATTTTTATGGCTGTTAAATAATAAATGGTTTTTAGTAGGTCCACTGCTCATTTAGACTGAACGGTTTGTGCAATATCCGCTCTTGGTCTAGATTTGACCAATCCTGTCGCAACACAAGTCGGCGATGACATTTTACCATAATATACGAGTTTCTTTTAGCGTGTTTATACAAATCTGTATTATATGAACCCGTTTTATAGGAGGGTTTATTGTACTATTTTAAGATAGGACTGCTGCAGTGCTACGGTTGGTGTTCCATAAATGTGCACTGAATACCTACATCTGTTGGTTAGCCACAGACACAATTACGGAAGCATTCATTCATTTTACGTTTGTTTGCGTGTGTTTAAAATGCCTCAGACATTTGAAAATCCTGCTGATTGAGAAGTATGCGCAGTAATTCATTTTTTTAATGCAAAAGACGTGAAAGTGGCTGACATTCATCGGCAAATTAGCGAGGTGCATGGAAAAAACATTATGAGTGATGGAATGGTAAGAAAATTGGTTAGAGCATTTAAAGATAGCGGTACTAATATCCATGACAAGGAGCGTAGTGGGCAACCATCTGCCATTACTGAAGACTTGGTGCAGAAAGTTGTTGCAAAAGTTCGAGAAAACAGACACTTTACAATTTCGTCATCCAAAACAAAAGGCACGACAAGCTCAGTAAGGGGATTGTTTTGCTTCATGACAGTGCCTGTCCACACGTGGCTGAACAAACTCGAAATCTTATCACATCTTATGGCTGGGAACAACTTGATCACCCTACGTATAGCCCTGATCTAGCAACTAGTGACTACCACTTGCTCCTCCACTTGAAAAATGCATCTAGGCAGTCAGCGCTATGACGACAATGTCAAAACACCATGCTGCAGTGGTTGGCAAATCAGGCAGCAGGTGTCTATGAGGATGGAATTCAAAAGGTAGTTATACGATAAGAAAAGTGCCTTCATATTGGAAGAAATTACGTTGAAAAGTAGATTAAAGTACAGGCTTTCATGTAAGAATAAAATTATTTTAAAAAATGCAGTTTTTTTTTTCAATATCAAAATGGTACTTACTTAAAAAACATGCCTTGTACAACAGTCACCAGACAATACCATCTTTCAGTTCTGCATACTCTCTTGTATCATATCCATAGGAAATAGCCCAATCTCCATACCAATGATTGCAGCTGCAGAACACAATGCATGCCTTTTAGTTACTAAAGTAGTGAATGAGTTTTAGGTCAAGAAAAACATTTCGTGCATCTGACATCCATTGCACAGTTTGAATTTGACACACTATGACTTATTTAAAGTCAAAGTAATGAGGAACTAATTTCCCTGCCCATAATAATACTGTGTTTTCCTGAAAATAAGACCTGGTCTTATATTAATTTTTATTCCAAAAGACACATTAGGTCTATTTTCAGGGGATGTCTCGTCCAAAGACACTCATTTGGGTATTTACAAATACTTAATTATAATTTGTATAATCATTTATTTTAAGTATTAATGTCAATAATAATATTATTTTATAATTTAATATGTCTGTTGTGGGTTGCAACAAACGTATTAAATATGACCATCTGGCTGACAATCTTGATTCTCAACTGGGGTTTATTTTAGGAGTAAGGCCTATATTACGAGCATCCTGAAAAATCATGCTAGGACTTATTTTCCAGTTAGGTCTTATTTTCAGGAAAATACAGTAGTAGTCAAAGCATAAGAGGCAATTTTAAAGAACATCTCAAAGCATGGTAGAAGTGATGTCAGAAGTCTTTTGAATTCCATGAGGAATACTTTCAAAAAGATCATAGTTACTATGCTGTAGAGTCATTATCATGAGAAGGAAAAATATCAGTCAATTTGTTTTGAGAGACCTTTATACATGCATGCAATCATTCAAGTTAAGTTTATCATTTTTACAAATATTGAGTGCATGAAATTATACTCAAGAATACATATATTTGAATTTATATATTGAATAAATAACATTATTGTATAGAATTGCATACAAAAAATTTGTTGTATTGAGATTTGATTTGATTTATGCTTTAAAAAACTATAAAACTATATTATAAATCACAAATGTAAATTAAATATTACTTTTTTCGATTCCATCTTGCTGGTGGATACCTTGTAAAATATTTAATATTTCTCTTCCAATTTGTTCCAGGTCACGAATAACAAGTCTAATTTCCTAAAGATTAAAAGAATCGCATAAATCAAAAAATCATTTTTTTAGATAAATACAATAAAGAAAATTAATTTGGTAATAATATATATTTTATTCTGAAAAATCCAAACTAATTACAGCATGAGGTTGTTCATATCAGAAAAGTTTGGATTAGTAAGGTGTTCTGTGTAAAGGAAAAGACAAATACATTTACTCAAAAAAATTTTAAATATATATATCAAATATATTGTAAGTTAAAATGTGTATTACATGCTAATTTTATGAATTTGTCATTTTTAAAATATACTGACAAGTATTAAGAACAGATTTAAAAACTTGTTCTCAATTCTTCAGTATTAAAAATATCAGAATGTAGACTATTTTAAGGCAAAATTTTGATTTTGTTAGTATAGTTTGTTAGTATGTGCTGTATTATAACCACCAAGAATACGTTTTATAATTACTAATTCAAACTAATCATTCACTACATTTAGTTAGAAATTTTATAAAAGTATATTTAGTATGGTTTTTGCAAAAAGTTTACACTATTCTATTCTAAAAATATGCATATTTCACTTGCATTTACTTGTTATAATTAAACACAGTTCAAAATTATATAAATTTCTAATATTAAACTGGTAGAAACAGCAAAAATATATAAAATAAAAAGAAAATAAAACTGGTTCAGATTAAGTAGAATTTGGATTAGCAAGAGTTCATTGTATATTCTTTTGCAAAATAAAAAGAACATGACTATAAATCCAAATAAATAATGCATAGTTCCAATATAAAAGTATATTATTTATTTACATTTACTTGAGAAAAATATAACTTTTATTTGACTTTTAAATAAATTTATATTGCAATAAGGTTTTATGTTTAGAAATTGAAATATACCAATGTATCTTTGATTGATTCAATCAAACCTGTATTGCACAAGAAAAACCCTTTTGATGAATTTATCTAAAATAATTTACTTTGTCTTAATTATTATAAATATGATAACTTCATTTTATTTTCTTTTGTTTAAAAAAAGAAACAACAAGCATTTTATAGATTACTAGCTTACCCTTGCGCATTGCTGCGATCTCAGAAGAAAGGAAATTCAAGCAAACTCATTATGATAAAATTCAATTTACATTTTATCATTTTTATTGAAACTTATTATTATTATTCATTTTCATCAGGAAAACATTTCAAAGTGTCGTTTCAATTCTATTTATTTATTGGAGTGTTTGTGGATACACGATATTTTTTGTTTTTCCGTCTGGTGCGTACACGAATAAATCGGAAGGTTTTTCGACGCGTGAGCCGGCCACATACAGTTGTCCATGCGAGAAGCACGGATTCTCCAAATTTAGCCCACACACTCGCAGCGATTGTCAGAAGTGCGATATTCCCCATTTTTATATATATTTTTTAATCCTTTATAATTTTAATTATTTAATTGCTCCTTCCTCTCTTCCTTGGCATGTTGTGAAATTTCTGATAGTTGGATAATAAACCGTTTTATTGTAATTTGTCTTTTTAAATTATTTTGAGTCAATATTAAAATTTGGAAAAGGTGATCCCTAGATTGGTAAAATACACCAATTTCTTCCTACAACTCCGGTTGTTGTTCGGGGTACAGTTAAGGTTTTAACGAAGTTCAAGCGAATACATAATTAGCAAAAAAAAGTTGAAATAAAGTGATTAAACAAAAATTATTACAAACATCGTAAATAACAGTTCACAAATGCATATATAGAGATATTTTTTGAAGAGGGGGAAATGGTCTTCACAATTTGAAATCGATCGAACACACACTGCTCGAATGCTCATGTAAACGCGCATCATCTATCTTAGGATAAATGCCAGAAACCTTCGCGGGAGTGTATTAAAAAACTTCCCAAAGCTTCATGGCAATCGTACTATGCCAGAAACCTTCACAGGAGTATATTAAACAACTTCTCAAAGTTTCACGGCAATCAGATAAACGGTGTGGTAATGCATGAAGGACACACACACACACACACATTTATTTTTATATATATAGATTTATTTTTTCACTTTACTATTTTATTTTAATTTACCATAGCACTAACGCTAATAAAACCTTTTCTTGTGAAGTATTAAGATTGATTTAATATGCTTATCTTACTGATTTTTAAGCATTACTTTCTCTTGATTTACATTAAAATATAAATTCCATTGTAAAAATATATATTTTGACTGCTTTATATTTACAGAATTAATATATTAAAATTATCATCATAATATACTAACTCAATAACATTCAAACTGTGCTCCATTGACTGCAAGTACCCCTGAAAAAACCCTGTAGAAATGATAAATGATAAAATTGATAAAGTGCAGCTGTAGTTAATTCACTACGAAACTAACATTTTAACATGCCTGACAAAGATTTTGATGTACATCTAAAATCTTTGTCAGGCACTATCCAATTCAAACAAAGAACAGTCCAAAAAACAAGAAATAATTAAAATTCAAATGCACCAATCCAATGCTGATAGACAGATGATGTAATCAATCATAAATTTAAATCATAATGTGCTTGCCAGGCATGAGATATGAACGAAAGAAGAAATTAATTTTTAACACCAGATTCTTATCATATAAAAGTTTAAAAGCACTGTCTATCGACGTTAATGAAGTTTTGATGAGTAAAATGCATAATGCCAATAGACAGTGCCTTTAAATTTTTATATCATGAGATATGCATTTTTCTTTAAAACTGATGCAGTGACCATTCTTTCTACTTTAAAGATCTTCAGGGCTTCATCTGTCTATCAGCATCGAATTGATACATTCAAATTTGAATTATTCCTTGTTATTTGGATTCCTTGTTGAAATCAAATAGTACCTGACAAAGATTGAAAACATTAGTTTTCTAGTAAATTAACTACAGCTGGACTGAATCAAGGTATTGTAAAGATGTATTTTTGTTTGAGAGATGTTTGATTTCTTATCATAGAAAGAAACAATGAAAATTTCAATAATTTAGTAAATAAGTTCTTTTTTAAAATTTTTAATATATAATTAAGGGATTTAAAACCAAAGCTATCTTTTTTCAGCTATTTTATTTTTTAATGTATACAGGTAGTAACAAAACATTGAAAATATTTTAGGAATAGATTCTGGGGTCAAAAATAAGCTTAAAATCCTGTATAAATGTTTTTCAAAAATTTCACTTAATTTTCAAGATCTGATCTGGTCTGCCAAAAATAATCACATTGAAAATCAATTTTAAACGTTCCACCAAAAGGATATTTGTTTTCAATTTCTGTGGAAAACAAATATTATCAAAATGAATTTATATTAAAAAACTTGCTTTCCAACTATTAAATGTGATTTAAAGAATGTTTAAGTAATTATCAAATTCTAATATATATTGTAAATTTAACATAATTTGCATTTGTAAATAATTACTTTCTAGTTTTAAAAGAATTTTATAGACAAATAGATCAAATATCTATGGGTTCAGTCATGAGATTGAGGTTAGCAGAAATTTGTATGTTAGATGCTGATTGTTACAAAGCCAATTTAAAAAGTATAAAGTTTTTTGATAGATATGTTGATGATATTCTATTGATACATCATGATGATTATTTCAACAGAAAATATTGTGAATTATGTTAATATCATTAATAAAAACATTCAGTTTAAATGTGAATTGAAGAAAATAAAGAAATTAGTTTTTCAGATATTACAGTGAGTAGAACTGACAAGTATACTCAAGTAAAGTTAGAAAAACAATTAATTTTAAATCTTACTGTCCTATAGCAATTAAAGAAAATGCCTTTTTAATTGAGTTAAAAACCATTTACAAGAACCACCTTAGAAGAGGGCATAGAAAAAAAAACCAATTATTTAAAAAGTATTTATTAAATGGATTACAGCAAGAGTATTAAAAAATAGTATGATAAATATTTTTGTAATAGTTATGATGCAAAAAACAAAACAATATATTTCTTTTCCATATATTAAAGGATTGTTTAAAAAATGTAAAAAACAATTTAATAATTATTCAATTTTGTTGGCACCCTCCCAAAAAAAAACAGGTTATCAGGATTACTGATTAAAGATTAACAAGAAGAAAAGAAAAAATTAAGAACAGCTGGAGTTGTTTATAAAAATTGTGTGTACATGTAATCAGTCAAAGTGTTACATTGTTGAAACAAGGAGACCATTGGAAAGATTAGAAGAACATGAAGCAGCCATTACATTGAAAAATGTCAGTTTACCATGGTTCCAATGTTGTAATAAAACTAATAATATAATAGATAAAGATAATATTAAAACTTTTTATAAAGAGAATAATAATCTTAAACATAGAATCAAGGAACATTACATCATAATAAAATATGATATTAAATTTAAAAAAATATGGCAACTGCATCACATTGAGATAAGACTTCATTTATAATGTGTCTTTACACGACTCGAATTATAAAATAGTATTTAGGGTCTAATATATTTAATAATTTATTGTAGTGACAAGCTCTATCAAGGAGGCCTTAGTGGAATCATCAAGGTGGAATTCATTTGGAGGTAACACCAAATATTTTATTAATGTTCAAAGAAAAGTTTCTTTTTAAGTGCTAGCTGCAAGTTGTTCTGACTACATATCTAGAAATCAGATTCAAATGAGATTTTTTCAAATCATTATTATTATTTTTGAAACAAAATATTAAAGTGATAAGACCAACCTTACAGTGTATGTTACAAGGATCACTCACTTCTTTGTAACCTCTCCCATCTTGTCTATGTTCTCTGCACATCTCATCTGAATTATGTCACATCCTACAGCACATGTTATACTATCCTCATGTGTATATGTATTGAACCGATAGAACTATTAGCTCCTTTTTTCCCCTTTTTAAACTATGTGTATATATCTTGCAAGTCATGTTGGTTTAACTACCACTATCTCAGGACTGAAGAGGGGCATTAAGCCCGAAATGCATATCCGTCTACACCAATAAAATAACCTTTTTCCTCTGAAAGTGTTCCTGTGTGATATGTTCTCAACAGCAACATTGTGCTAAGAAAATACATATAATAGAGAACAACAAGCAACCAAGATTTTTGATAAGGCTTTGTTTACTAACACTCCACGAAACCTTTTATAACAGTGTTGTCTCCGTAATAAACTTCACGAACGTTTTCGACCTCCACCAAGGTCTGCTTCAGGTGGAGTATTGATTGCATCCGTCATCTGGAGGCCTGGGAGATTTTATAAAGCCAACATTGGGGGCACCTGCATCAACTTTAAAGACGGAGAAACGATCGCACAGGCGTGGAGGTACTTGTTCGAAGAATTCAAACTGGGACAAGCGGAGGGATGAAACAAGATACACGCAATTATTTACATCTCGGGCGTCATCGTTCCAATGGTCAAGGGAAGACATCGTTTAGTCACCACCTGAAGCAGACCTCGATGGAGGTCGAAAACATTCGTGAAGTTTGTTACATTGACAACACTGTTATAAAAAGGTTTCGTGGAGTGTTATTAAAACTCAATGCAGTGTTAAGTTATTAGAAGGCTTTGTTTACATTTATTACCATAACAAGGGCAACATTTACTTACCTCAATCTATTGACAGAAGCATAAAAAAAAATACAAAATTACTTTTACTGTCAAATATATAGTTGACAACTATAGTATTAGTACTTTAGCAGAAAATTTGAAAAGAACCTTTTTTTGGGCAGACAAAAATCCCAAAAACAAAGTGAAATTTGAAAAACATTTATAGAGAATTTTAGGTTTGTTTTTGACCCTAGTATCTCTGAAATATTGGTACAGAGTTTCATTACATCCTGTATATATATTATATATTAAAAATATAGTGAAAAAATTTTCCTTATATGCATACAAAAGCAGCACATTACTAAACAGTACATACTAATACTTTTATAAATATGTACTTAACATTGAAACTTCAGCAAATTATCCATATAATCACCATAGAAGTTTTGAAGATTAAGAATTTATTAAGAAAACTGTCCATTACATGAATGCCTATCATTTTGTATGTGAAAACCATGAAAAATTTAAAATTCACACATTTAATAAACATGTTAAAATTATAGAATTATTCACATTTTGTTAAGAAATAGAATGAAGAATTTTCAATTCATACAAATATAACAATATATTTTTTGTAATTTCCATTTGTAATGTGCACTCAAAACTGAAATCAAAGTTGATCAGCTAACTGGAACTTTGACAATAAATATTGGATAAAATTTATTTTCAGCAAATGACAGAATAATTTTGAATATAATCTGTCTTTGTTTTACCTCTCTTAGATCTTGTTCTGCGTCGATATATTTTTGAAAAGATGCGAATATATCACTTAAAGATTGATCCATAACAATATTTACGAAACCACAAACTTCAATTTCAGACGATCCGCTCAATAGTAACAAAAACGTCCGGTAGGGGGTAATTACTCGGTTGTTATTTTTTGTTAGTAATTTTTATATCTTAATTTTAACGTTTTATTAAACGTTTTCGATGAATTTAATATTGTATTATCTATTAAAATAAATAATATTTCATAATTTTAAAACATTTTAGATTAATTTCGAAATACAGTATCGCGTTAGATAATTTAAATCAGTAGCGTTTTTTTAAATGTCATACTATGATTACTTTTATAAGAAAGATACCGCTAGGTATTCAAATATTTTTATCTAAAATTTCTCTATAGAAAGCTGTATTAAAATTTATGGTGAGAATTAAAAAAAATGGATATAACGAATTTACTTTAGAATAACTTTCGAGTACATAAAAAAACATACTACATCTTAATCGGCCAGAAACAATCCGCTTTTATTACTTAATGATCAAAAATTGGTTGTAATTTGATCATTTAAAAAAAAAGTTAAATAGAATAAATTCAAAAAATAACGATTTTATGAATGACATAATAAATTGGTTCGTAAAATAGTTTCTCCCGTTTGGCTACTACGAAAGTAGTTAATTTCTTAATAGTTGACTAAACTCGAGTATATACTGTAGTAGAATTTTAAAATATTTTGGAAAAATAACAGTCAACAGTCATATTGAATTGACGCGGTACAACCCGCGGTACCGCGAGAAATTAAACCAGTAAATAATAAGATGAAACAATCCTATTAATTACATTTTGCAATTTTCTCTTCCTCTTTTAGTTTGTTGCAGTAAGATTCTGATATTGGTTTTATTTTTTCTATTGACTGTTTTAAGACCAAATTACGTTATAGAAGCAATAATAAATAGTCATAAATAACTCGCAGCCAATAGAAAGGCGGCGAAAAAATAATTGATATTCAAAGAAAAATATCTGAGACTTAAACAAGATTTGTCAAGTATGATCCTAATGAAAAACGAGCTTTAAAGTTACAACGTGACACGAAATCGTTACTGTCGTTTTATAGAGAATTATATTTCACTGCTTAGAAATGAAAAATAGTGCCTCGGCCGAAACAACTTGAACGGTTAGAAATGTACAAAACCTTCGGGAGAAGGACGGTAGTTCACTTGGCGGAGTCAGTCTAGATCAAGGGTGGGCAACCTTTTTTATAACATGGGCCAGAATAAATTTTACGTTTTTTCCGCGGGCCATAGTAGTTAATTGACACCTTGTGACCTGTAAATTTTTAGTCTGCAAATATGAAATAAATAAATAAATAAATAAAAAGAAATTAATTACTACAGTCGATCCCACTATAACACTGTTGATTATTCCGTTTTATATGAATTCCATGTTGTATGAGTCACTTAGATTTTACAAATGCGTGTGCCGGGCTGTGAACGGCTCACCTATTTGTAAAATCTAAGTGACTTTAAACACAATAAAAACAGCACTATGTAGTTGGATACGACAGACATTA